GATCAAGCCACTTGGCACGTTCTCCATGCTCGACGCTCCAGATCCTTGCACGTTTGCACGTAGTAACTGCTGGAAACCGTTTTCCCTCCAAAGCTTTGAATTTCAAACTGCTCCACTCTGGACCATCGAACACCTTCATCAAGAGACGTCTTCGACGAAAACTCCTTCGACGTCGAAGGCAATCAGCCTTCTTCCTTGGAAGAAATCTTCTAAGTATTTTGCCATCTTTCGACGGGCACTTCGACAGGCTTAACCAGTCGAAAACATCTTTCAGCTTTTAATGGCTGCCACCAATCAAAACAAAGGTGTCGAATTTAGGAGCCAACACCCGGCCAACCAAAATAGGGCCGAGATTACACACAAATGGAGACGAGCATATTCGCTCGCCAAATCAAAGCCACTTACGGGCGCCTCTCGGGCCCGGGACTTGAGCTAAATTCATACAAGCATGTGAGTGCATACAAGGGCAAAAAATCCAAAATAAATAACAAGGTATAAATGCCCGAAGGCAACAAAGCAATATTAACCCGACCAAGAAGGCCAGCGGTGTTCAAAACATACAATGAACGGGCACGCAGGCCCAAAGAATACAAATTCAAATATCAAGGGCACGCAGGCCCGCTATCCAAAGAATACAAATATCAAACTTCCACATTATCATCATTGTCGACGCTGGGAGAGTCGGGCGGAGGAATGATCGCACCACCTACAACCCGATGGGTATGACCGATACCCTCGGTGACCAGGTCGGGGTTTAGCAATGAGAGCTGGTCGACTGCAGAATTGAACCCGTCTTCCAGAGCACCGACTGCGTCCGCCTCGAGGAGCCGGATATGGGCAATAAGCTCAGCCCGACTCTTCAAAACCACTAGGTCCTCGGGCTCATCTTCGGCGGGTTGCTGAACAGCATTCAGTTCCTCAACCTGTTTACCCAGGCGTTCGACTTCAGCAGCCAAACGATCCCTGTCGGTCCGGAGCAACTCCCCTTCCTCAGTCAACCTCCCCGACTTCTCCTTTTCCAAGGTCAGCATCTCCCTCTCGGCATCAAGTATCGCGGTCTGCTCTTGGAACATCCCCTCGGAGCGTTCCAGAGTGACCTTCAACTTCCGCGAGCTCGCAGTCAAGGCCGCCTTCTCCTGCTCGAGCTCTTCAACACGAGCAGCATCCCCTGCATCCTCAGATAACACCAGAGCCATTTCGGCCATTTTAACCAGCCCGTCCACGCTGGCGACCAGCCGCGACTTCCTCTCCTCTTTAGTCATCCTCTTTATGGCCTCGGCTTCATGAGCGACCACGGTCGGAGGGAACCGCTCGAAAAAGCCCTCCTCCTCGAAGCAAGGGGGGAAGGCAAAGGATTGAACAGCACTGGCATCTTCCCCGACAGTCGAACCGCCTTCCACGCGAGTCCTCTTCCTCTGCGTCAAAACGGCGCTGGCGTCAATCTCCTCGACCTCTGGATCTGACGCTGCTCCCGAGCTCGACGTCGAATCCACCCTCACCGGCTGAGGAACGTTCATGCTGGGCGGTGGTCCCATTCTCGTCGTTTGCGGGGCCTGCACGACCCTCTTGCCTCGCCTCTGGCCGGTTGACAATTTCAGGAGCCTTTCATGTCGGCTGGCCATCGTACCTGCACGAAGTAAAGGAAAAGTCAGTATCGAGCAAAACGCATAAATAAATGACGAGTAAAGAATTTCAAACAAACAACCTAACAGGCGGGCTGCCTGCCTATATGTCGAACATTCCACCAGCGCCTTGGTGTCGATCGGGCGAGCCTCGAATGTCGGGTAACCGTCCTTGTCGAGGATATCATTCCCTTCCCGCGTAACCCATTGGGCGGGATGAAAACTGTCGACAAAGTTGCAGAGAGCCTCATACGCCCGCTGATCCTCCGTGCACATGTCCCCGACTGCGGTATGGAAATAACCTGTTCCATGCTCGAAGTGTCGGGACATCCAGTACACCGGGAACTTAGCCCGACGTCCTAACACGGGGCTCCCGTCGTCGGCCAACATTGCTTCCCCGTCATCATCGCTTACCGGCCCTTCCTCCTCGAAGAGGGAATCTACAGCAGAGTCGGTAGTAGGGCGGACCACATACCACTTATCCTTGAACCCCCTCACAGAGTCCATGTACATCCTAAACAGTCTCCTCGACTGCTTCAGGGACACCCAGCTGTGCTTCCCTCCTCGGGACTGACGCTGTAGGTGGAAGACCCGAAAGAAGAGAGGGATGGTCGCCCCTATCCTTAAGTAGCGACACGTCAGCTCAAACGCCCGGATGAAGGCGAGAGAGTTTGGGTGTAGCTGGGACGGGGCCAGCTCCAAATGCGTAAAGACCCCGGTCTCAAAGTCTGTGAACGGCAGCCGCAGCCCCAAGTCTTTAAACGCGATCTCGTACATCGCAAAGCTGTAGTCCGGGTACATTGAACAAATTCTGGCGTTGGTCGACGGCAGCATGACCACGAAATTCTGCTGGAAGTCGGGCTGGTCCTGCCCCTCTTCGATAGCGGTGAATGGATGTCGGTCATCCCGACTGTATATCGACGCCGTCCCCCGAGGCTCGGCGCCCACCCATTCCAGCGATGGGTCGGTCACGGTGTCTATAAGGTTGGCCGACTCGTCGGCACTTGGTTCTTCGCTGTCACGACGACCGGAGGAGCTCGGCTCATCCGCCATGGTTACCTGCAGAGCACGGGAAACCAATCAGATTGAGCATGAAGTCCTATGCTCGACATAATCATGTCGTCCATACACTACTACACAAGTCCATTTTCACAAGTGGATGCCTCCCCGACTCTCTTGAATCCAGTGTTCTTCCTCAAACCAACTGCGCGGCCACTCTTCAAGCATGTCGATCCGAGGTATGAACATGGCGAGCCGCATTATGAAGCCCACGGCCACGACCATAAACATACCGGGCACCGTCATGAATCAGGCGCCCAGGATCATGAAGACCCCGGGCAGCTCTGAAGTTTTTCACCTAAAACTATGAATGTGTCGGCCACAAGTATGCGTTTGCCGGCCCTAGACATGAATCTGTCGGGCAAAACGCAAGTTTACCGGGCTAACCCAACATTAACGGTCCTAAAACATCTACAATTTCCAAGAATCATGCATTCTAAAACAGAAAAATGAAGAAAATAGATCACTTACTTGGATCAAAGTTGGGATTTGGCTAAGAAATGAAGAATCTGAGACGGGAAGTCACGACTGGAGAGAGTGTTGAGAGCGGCAACGGAGAGAGCACGGAGAACGGAAAACGTATTATGGGGCCCAAGGACCCTATTTATAGTGATGACGTGGAATACCAAACGTCACCTCGTTCAGCCACGGACTCCATCTCCTCGACGCACTGTTCCCAATGCAATGATGGCCCTACCCCCCTAGGGTGGCGGCACAACTCCCGAAAGATGCCTCGTGTGCTCGACTGACGCGCCCGGTACGGATCCTCCACGCATCCACCACCGAGGACGTCTCCGAGCACGGCACGAGGAGACCCCTCGAGGGTCCACGCCTCCATCCCGGGCACGAGACCTCAGCGACGGAACAACTGTTTCAAGTCATGGCTCCTCACAAAGGAACCACGACTTGGGGGGCTCCTGTTCTGGACTGGGCCCGACAGGCCCAAAAGCATTACTAAGGCCCAGTCCAAAGGGACTCACTAAGGACCACACTGGGCAAAGGGGGTCACGTCCATGCCCGACACCCTGATGTCCACCTCGATATCTCGGTGTCCAGCCCCACGATGAAGTCATGCTCGACAGCCTGCCGTCCAGCTCTATGTCCTGGCTTCCAGCTCGACACTCGCTGTCCAGCTCGAGGTCTTGGCGTCGAGCTCGGCACCGTGCTGCGCAGCTCGACATGGTCTCGAGCTAACTTGCTAGGGCAGACTTAGTCCTCCATTGCCCCAACGATACTCCGGAAAGACCGCGTCTCCGTCCGCCCGCACTTCATGCAGCATATCCAGGAAGGGGACCACGTGCTGGTCCCCACTACCCACGTAGAACCTGGCAGTTCCTCCATTGGGCCAAATCCGCCCGGCCCAATGAAGGAACCTTGGCCCAGCGCTGGGGGCTATAAAGCGCTGGGGGCTATAAATACCCTCTGCTTCCAGAGGGTCAGGTATTCATCATTCTAACCTCAACTCTATTATCTGCTAGTACTCCCACTGACTTTAGCATCGGAGTGCCTTGCAGGTACCCCCCCCCTCCTCGTTCAAAAAGCCTTCAGCTCGGAGCAGCCGTGACGGTCCAAACCTTCTGATCAGGTCAGATCATATATATATATATATATATATATATATATATATATATATATATATATATATATATATATATATATATATATATATATATATATATATATATATATATATATATATATATATATATATATATATATATATATATATATATATATATAAATTCAAAATTGCATTTCACACATCTAAATAAAATATTTTCAACAATTTTATTGAATTATATAAAATAAATGTATTCGAAGATGCATCTCCGAACGCTAAATATATTAAAGATTTTTAACGAGATAATTTGTGATTAAATAAGGTGGATTCAACATTGAACCAAATAAAATCTGGTCTATAGATTTTCTCATAGCTATTTGTATTCAGGTAAAATAAAACCTGATTGATTCTTCCAATTTATAATATAGGCAGTTTTTTATTTTTAAAAAAAGTATGCAACTATAAATTAATGTATTATGCAATTTTCTTACTGAGTTTATCTTTATTCAACAACATATACAACAACTTTAATCTCACATATCTCAAACATATTTATATTTACTCAAAAAATTGTTAACACAATAAATGTCCACAATTACATGTATGTGTACCTCCTTTCAAAAAAAAATATGTTTGTACCTAAATCTGATGTAGTAGTTCTGTACAAAATGTTCTAACCAATGAAATCAAATCTATATAAACAACAAAATCAAAAGAACAAGTCTTCATTTTATGAGCAAACTAAGAATCAACTAGTTCTAATTTACTGGATCCAATTGAAGAGGTCTAGGTGGAGCCATGGTCCTTCTCTTCCATAGATTAATTTCTTTTCTTGGCTTCAAATCAAGTCCATGATCACCACTAGCAGCAACACCACCACCACCAATCAAAAGAGGTGCAGAAAATGGAATCATAAACTTTTCATCTTCATCATCATTATCATCATCACTCTCTATTCTCTCTTCATCTGAATGATAATCATCTATTTCCCCAGCTCCCACTTGAGCCTTCCAATCAAAGTTATCAAAAGTGCCACGTCCACTTGCAAACCGTTTCATTTGACTCACATGATGTGCTGTTCTTGTTCTTTCCTCGAGAACCACACATGCATCTGATTTCCTTCTTCCATCAGATTTTGTCTTCCCAGCATGAAACAACATCTTTTGAAAAGTGGTCACACGTTTCTTCACTTCTATGTCTTTAGTCTTTTTGTTCTGTTGTTTCTTCTTGTGTTTGATTTGTCCCATGCATGATATTTTTGGTGAAGTTGGTTCTTCATAATCATTTCCAATATTTTTCGGTTTTATCGTTACGATTGGACCTGAAAATCCCTTGACACCACCACGAGGTTTAGATTTGTGATCCTTACTAGGACTGAATGGATGGTTTTGGAATGTTAAAGTGATAGCGGAAACTGTTTTTGGTAATATCTTCAAGATTTTGTTCCTCAGCTTAAGGTTTTTCTCCATGAGATTGATGATTAGATTGAACTTGAATGAAATTATGGGTTGGTTGGAATTTGATATTTTTGTATGTGGTGATGATAAGATGGACTCTCTTTATATATACTTTGGATTGTTGACTAAGCATTGAGGGTGAGACTAATTATTCAAGTCGTACTTAATAATGGTCGATGATACCAGAGTTTCTATAGGAGTATTAAATATTTGGATATACTTGATTATGTCAAGAAAGGTGGCATATGTAGAAAAGGTTTGGTCAACTCAAAAATGTGTGACTCCATCGGTTATAGTACAAAATGTTTAATATAATAGCTCCACACCACGTTATTATCTAAATTGTTAATTTTAAAATCTTTTTTTAATTAATTTTTTTTATAATTTTTTTTAAGAGTTTTTTCTATTTTTAGTTGTTTGACTCATTTCTTTATCACATAATTTATAAAACTTTTCTCTATATGTTTAAATTACATAAATTTATTTTTCACCATTTTTTATTATATGTGGTAGTCCAACACTTTCTAATATTATTATTTTTAATTTTATTATGTTTAATCTTATCACACATCCAACTCAATATCTCATCTCTGTTACACTTATTTTATTTTCGTGTTGATTCTTAATAGTCTAACATTTTATCTCGTACAACATCGCAGGTCTAAGCACAATCCGATAAAAAAATTCTTCAGTTTGAGTGGTACCTTTGTGTCACATAAAATCTTTGAATTCCTCCTTCATTTTAATCACCCACTTTGAATTTGATGGTTTACATCTCATTTTATTTCTCAACAGTTTTATATTACGAACCTAAGATATTTAAACTGTGTGACTTATGGGTTGATATGGTCTCCAACTTTTACCACTAGGTTAGAAACGCTTCTCCTTTTGTTAAACTTAAGTTACATATAATATGTCTTACTTCTGTTTAGACGAAAGTCATGTGTTTCTAAAGCTCGTCTTCAAGTATTCAACCTCTCATTTAAATCATTCTTTGACTATCCAAGTAGGTTTATATCATCTGCAAAAGTATGCATCTCAGTGCTAACTCTTAGAAGTGTTTCGTTAGTACATTCAAAATTAAAGTGAAAAAATAGGAGCTTATGGCTAAAGCTTGATGCAAACCTGTTATAATGAATAAATGTTTGTCTCTCCACCCTGTATTTGCACACTAGTCGATAACCTTTCATACATATCTTAAATAGTTCGAATATATGCAATTATAACTCTTTCTTATCTAGGACTTTCTAAAAAATCTTTTTAGGCACTGTATTATACACCTTCTTCAAGTCAATAAAAATTAAACGTAAGTCTTGTTGGTCCATCTAATACCGCTCCATCATATTTCATGTAGATATATCGCTTTTGTGGTCGATCTCACCGACATAAAATCAAATTGATTCTCTATGACTTGAGTCTCCTTTTTAGTCTTTCTCAATCACTCTTTCGCATAATTTCATGGTATGACTCATAAGTTTAATCGCTCTATAATTTGTACAATTATGTATATCATCATTGTTCTTATAGATTGGAACTAAAGTTTTTCCTCTTCATTCATCTGACATTTACGTAGATCTAATAATTTTGTTAAAGAGTTTGGTGAGCCACTCAATACCTCTTTCTCCAAAAAAAATCACACTTTAATAGGAATGTTTTCTGTCTCAATTGTCTTACTGTTATTCACCATTTTCAATGCTTCATTTACCTTTTGTTTTGTAATCCAACGATATTAATTACAGTTCTAACATTCTCCTCTAATGTTGAGCCAACTAGAATCCGATGAGATATCATATTCTTCATTAAATAAAATGTTGAAACATGTCTTTCACTCCCTTTATATCCATTTCCTATACCAAGACTTTTTCTTCTTCATATTTAATACACTTCACTTGATTCAAATCTCTTATATTTCATTCTCTTCCCTTAGCAAGCATATATATATATATATATATATATATATATATATATATATATATATATATATATATATATATATATATATATCCGTCGTTGATTTCTAAAGATTGGTATAATTCGTCAAAAGCGTGGTTCTTGCTTTACGCATCGCCTTCTTGGTCTCGTTCTTAGTTTTCTTATACTTTTCTCAAATTCCGACTTTTTTTACACCTACATCATTCTTTAAAACAATTCTTTTTTACTCTAATTTTACTCAGAATATTTTCATTCCACCACCATGATTCTTTACCCCTAGGTCCAAAACTTCTTTATTCTCCCAACGTCTCTTTAGCTATATTTTAATTTCTTGGGCCATCTTATTTCACATATCATTTACATTTCCTTGTGGTTTCCCAAACCCTCCATCTAAGATCTTGTGTTGGAAACTTCCTTGTTTTTAACCTTTCAAATGCCACAATTTGATATATGGCGCTTCTATGTATTTTTTCTCCTTGTTCTCCTCTAGATTCTTACATCCATAATAAATATTTTATGTTGGGTAGTCAAGGTCTCTTCTTGAATAACTTTACAATCCAAGCAAACCTTTCTATCTGACTTCCTAATATGTAAGAAATTCATCTGAGAACATGTCAACTCACTCTTCTATGTGATAAAATGCTTTTCTCTTTTTCTAAACCATGTATTAACTATAGTAAGATCAAAAGTCCTCAAAAACTCCAAGATGGATTTATCCTCCGCATTTACCTCCTTGAGACCATACCTCATGCTCGCCCTCAAAACCTCTTGTCATCCTCCTTACATGTTCATTTAGGCCCCCTCATAGAAAAAGCTTCTCTCCTTGAGATATATACTGAAGTAAACCTTCTAAATCCTCTCAAAATTTAACTTAAGCTAATGTTTTTTGCTAATCCAACCTAAGGTGCTTAAACATTAATAACATTAAAGGTGTCTTATTCCAGTATAAATTTCAAGACTACAATTTGATCTCCTACTCTTTTCACATCCACAAATTTATTCTTCAACTCATTGTCCATAATAATCCACACCATATTTCTCGAACTAACTTTTCCAAAGTAACGAAGCTTAAATTCCAAATTGTCTAATTTTTCGCTTTTTCACATGTCCACTTAGTTTCTTGTAGGCACATGAAATTAATCTTTCTCCTAACCATAGTGTCCAGTATTTTTATAGATTTTTCAATAAGTGCACTTATATTTCATGATACAAAACGAATTCCACTCTCGTGAACTAACTTCTTTAACCACACTCGTTCACGAAAATGTGAAAACCCTTACTTATTTTTTACTGCATACATGTAGCGATGCAGCAACCTTTGCTCTATTGACATTGTAGTCGAGTTATACATCATGTTGGTTACAATCAATAACCTAACATTCATAATATTTCATAATTAATCTATGTCATAGAGATTCGACAAAATTTTATGTTGGTTATCGACAACCTAACACAATTCCCTCTTTTATTTGAGCTTAAGACTGGCTATGCATAGCAAAGCTAACATAGACATATGATTTCACAAATCTATTATAAATATATAAAATGTAAAGTATCTGAAAATACCATGTATAACCCTCTGATTAAATGTCTTAACTTTTCTGATTCTAGGGATATATTAGACATTTTGTTACATGACTTCAACCAGGTTCATTTAGCATTAAATATTGATGACGTGTCAACATATTACATTTTTTTGTTAGATTTTTATTTTATTTTTATTTTTATTCCATTCAAATAATTCAAATAATAATCTTGAAAGATGAAAATCCATAATCACTAAATTGAATTTTTAATCATAACTACTTAATGTACTTTTTCTATTGCCACTTTGAAATATGTAAAAACACAACTTCCTATATTGTTGCATCGTTCAAACATTAAAACACTATATCAATTCTGTAAAACATAAAAGGGAAACGTTCTTCAAATTAAACCCACATCTCATACTCCAAACTCCAGGCTCCGCAACAAACAGGTATTGTTTCCATCTTTTGTTTTTTGATTGACTCAACGCAATGCTACCTAAACCAACATTTGCATTCTCGGTTCTTTGATCCAAAGATTCTTCCTATATTTCCTCCTCTGCTTCCACCGATCAACTATGGTCAGTTTCTTTTCTTTCTCTTTCTTTTTCTACTTTTAATCTTCGCATATCTGATTTTGATCTTGATTTCGCTTTACTTTAAAGTTTATAACGATTTTCTTTGATCTTATCTTCTGTGAAATAGATACGTTTATGATCAAGACGAAGCAATTAGTTTAAGCATTTTTTTATATATTTTATTAATTAATTAGTGTAAATAATGACTTTCGTCTATTTTGAGGATGTAGAAGGTACTCTAATTGCTTGATTATGGACTGTATTATGTGTGATTTGATTTTTATTACCTAAACATTATGTGCAAAAAGGTGTTTTCATTTTTTTTAATTCTTAAAACACTAAATATAAGTTTTAGGGTTTGTTTGATTAAAAATCTAACTAAGTTGTTTTTTTTTGTTTGATTAAATGCTTATTTATAAACTAGTTTGAAGAGAAATAAGTTGTTTTGTTGGTTGATTTGCAGAAATAAAGATTAATTTGATGTTAGCTGAATCGGTTTCATTTTTCTAATGTGCAGGAGTTGTAGGTATTCTTGGATCAATATACTTCCAAACTTAATTTTAAGATATAGTCAGAGGTGGAAATTTATAAAACTACACTTAGACAAGGCTTCCTAAACTAGACCGCAATCTATATTAGATTTAATGTCATAAATCTTAGCATTTAAATTTGAATTTGGTGCATTATCTGCATCATGTAGATTTCAATCTCAACCGTCTGATTTCAAATTAATAGTCGAGATCAAGCATTATACTGATAGATTATTTTCTTCTGAATCTCAAACTAGCACTAATTTTGTGATTTCATATGGTCTAACATGTGATTGATTTCTTCTGAATTATTGATAGTTTGTTTATAATGCAAACGCTAATGCATCAATAGTTGAACAGAAGAAGGACAACCCTTTCACTTCACCAATGACATGGATATCAGTGAAGTTGAAGATGTGATTTACTTCACTGATTCAACCATGTCTGTGTTTTATAAAACAATATTGCTATTGTGTACTAATATTTTTTTTATGAAATAAGCATCAAAGGATTAATAAGTTGTTTTTGTGCAAAGCGTGATTCTTACACTTACGCTTATACTTATGTTGTTCTAATGTCCAGCATGACAATATTTGCAGACAACTTATGCTTATACTTCTCACTGGAGACAAGACTGTGCGGTTAATGAAATACGACAAGTCAATAAAATAAGTGAAGGTCTTATTACAATTAAAATTAAAATTAACGAAATGTTTTAAAACTAAAACAATTGTTCTAATGGACATTGGAAAAAGAATTATTGTCACGCGTAATAATAGTACCTACACACTATAAGCGGCGCACATAATCACTTTGAAAAATAAACGTTGTCTTTTCAATAATAATAAAAGTCGGGCTTATTTTCGATAAAGAACGGATAAATTTTACAAAATTGAATTCAAACTAAATTGTGCTAAAAGTCTAAAACATACTAGCTCCATTTAATATTCTTATTTTATTTTCTAATAAAGTGAATATAGTTGAATGAATTTTGGATGACTATATATAAACTCCATATATAAAGCTCGAGTAACTGAGGTTCGTGAGTAATGTCTATTAAAATATCAACATAGCTAATAATTATATATATATATATATATATATATATATATATATGGACGAAATATATTTAATGTAATGAAAACAATCAATATTTATGGACTATTTTATACAAAGTATCTGTTATCTTTTAAGGTGACAACTCTTTTGACTGATAGTGATCATTTGCTTCCATTTTAAGTTTATACCTTATATCTAACGTGTAATCACTTTCAAACTTTCTATAACTTATGAAGTGTCTTCCATTACTACAAAGTAAAAATGCACTTCTTAACTAATTGAAATTGTGTGATGAAGCTCTTGCAAAGGTTTCTGTCACTAATATTCCAGAAGCTTCATGCTCTAACAATCGCCTTTGAGACAAAAAAACAAGCTTCTAAACATTTCCTAATGTTCATTATTGAAAGGGTTATACAACAACTACTTTGTGCCTAATATTACTTATAAATACTTTTTATATGTATCAAATAAATTGATCCCTACGGGTATATTTTATATTGTATCAAATAAATCGGTTTGTAACCAACAGTATATTGTAATGAAGGTTCTTGGAGGTACAGATCGACGGGTAGATGTGAAGCGAGTTTATGGGATAACAATTGTGGACTGTTTATCATAATGAAGGTTCTTTGAGGCATAGACTGACGGGTAGATGTGAAGCGTGTCTATGGGATATACTGCTCCGAGCAACTACACTTCCATTTATATATTTTCTTTTTTAATTAAATTAAAAATTTTAATCTAATAAAAATCTTTAAAATTATTAATACACTACATATTCACACACACACACACACACACACACAGATATATATATATATATATATATATATATATATATATATATATATATATATATATATATATATATATATATATATATATATATATATATATATATATATATATATATATATATATATATATATATATATATATATATATATATATATATATATATATATATATATATATATATATATATATATATATATATATATATATATATATATATATATATATATATATATATATATATATATATATATATATATATATATATATATACTACAAAATTCATTTTTGAAAAAATTGTAGAATCTTTTTAACAAAATCGTATTAACATTAAAGACTTAATACTCTCTTAGTCAAGTATATTAATCTAAGAGTTCTTTTTATTTCTCAATTTAACAGCTCTAGATTGTTCATCGTAATGAAGGTCCTTGCAGGTATAGATATACAGGTAGATGTAAACGTATCTACGAGATACCAGCTGTAGACTGTTCATTTTATTGTCCATCTTTAAAATCTTTCTTTTACTTCTGTTTTATATATTGAAGTTAGAGAATCAACTATACGATTTATTGTAAGTACGGATCAATACTTAAAATTTGGTGCATATTATTAGTTTATATTTATAATTATGTGAATGTTAACCAATTGAAGAATGAATTCAAACTTTACAAATGATGGTTTGGTAAACATAAAATATGAATCCAGACGGGACTCGTGCGATAGCACGGGTTTCTTACTAGTCTACTTATTAAATTAAAATTATCTAATCCAAAATTATTACTTTTTGTTAGTAGAAACTATATATTGACAAAAACTATTTATATAAAATAAAAACTATATACAAAATAAAAATGTTATACATTATTTAATTTTATCAATTAATTCATTTCTGGCTCAATTCTTATTTGAAAACATGTACTAGTACTTTATTAAAGTCAACTATTAAATGTTCTGCTTTGTTTGTGGTAGACTGGGGCATCAACTTAAAGACTGTGAAACATTGGGTAAGCTGAGTGAAGAAAGATATGAGGAGGTGGATGAGCAGGAGTTGTCTTATGGTATGTGGCTTAGGGCTTTACCCCTTGCTAAGACCTTTGAGAAACAACAAAAGAAATAGTCAAGCTCCAATAATTGTAGCAGGAGCTTATTTAACATATCATCAAGCCACAACCACTGTGGTACTAAGGATAGAGATGACAAAGGAGACCAAGAGGTGGTTCAGCCAAAAGATGGAGATAATATAGGGGAAGGTCTAGAGGTTGTTAGAGCACCTGAGAGGAATGAGTTAGAGATAGAAATGGTTGTAGAATAATTAGGAGCAGTAGTTACAAGCTCTGTAGTTGGAAATAAGAGTATTGCTTCTAGCAAAGAGAAACCAAAAGCGAAGAAGTGGAGTCGTCAAAAAGTGGGGAAAAGGCAACTAAGGAGAGAATAAAAAAGTTAAAAGGTGAGAAAGGAAAAAAGGCAACTGGTTGATGTTATGATCATGGAAGCTTCACCTGAGGAGGTTGGGTGTTTGGGAAAGAAGAGAAGACAAGACACAAATTTGAAGACTATTGGCATTGATAAGTTAAAACCAGAGGTGGTGTTGGATGGCTAGCACCGCCTAACTCAATGAAACTTTTAAGTTGGAACTGCAGAGGGTTGGGGATCCCTCATGCAGTTCAAGCCTTGCTAAGGCTCATCCGGTTAGAAAACTGCAACCTGTTCTTTTTTATGGAAACGCGTCTTAAAGAGAAGGAAATGCAAGTTGTTAAATACAAATATGGATTCGATCATTATCTGGTTGTTGATTGTGCAGCTTTGGGAAGGGGTAGGGCAGGTGGCCTTGCTTTGTTGTGGAACGATAAATTGAAAGTATATATATAGTCTTTCTCTCAAAACCACATTAGTGGTGAAGTTGAGGACGATGAGGATGAACGCCCTTGGTGTTTCTCAGGGGTGTACGGGTTTCCTGAGGAGAAAAATTTAAAAAAAAAACACCTGGATGCTGGTCCAGAATTTGTGGTAGGAAGGAACCGGTAAGTGGGTTTGTTTCGAAGATTTTAATGACACCATTTTGGAGACGGAAAAATCTGGAGAGATTGCTAGATCTATTAGGAAATTCAATTGGGGAAGACAAACTATTAACTCCTGTGGCTTATAAGACCTGGGGTTTGAAGGGTATCCGTTCACCTAGAATAGTGGTCGATAAGGGGATAATAACATTCAAAGTCGTCTCGACAGAGCTATGGCAACAAAGGTAGGTATTAACAGATTTTATCTTATCCAAGTTACCCATTTGTTGCGGTTTGGTTCAGATCGTGTGGCACTTAAGATCGAACTTGAGAAAAGTAATGCAAAGGAGAAAATAAGGTGTCAATATATATTCAGGTTTGAAGATGTTTGGTCTAGGGATGAAAGATGTGAGCAACTGGTCGACAAAGATGGGCTTCAGCTCTTTTTGGGGGCTTTTCCAAAATCAAGTCTATGGTGGAACTGGGGGAGGATTTCAAGGAATATAGATGTGGAACCATTAGGGCAGAGATTAAGAGAATTGAAAAGAAATTGAAGGATGGTTCAATGTAGGGGTTACTGATGAGGACATTACAACTTTTAAAGCTCTTGAATCTCAGAAATATAATCTCTTGAAGGATGAAGAAGTGATTTGGAGGCAACATAGTAGGGTTGTGTGGTTAAAAGACGGTGACCGCAACACCAAGTTCTTCCACGAAAAAGCGAATCAAATGAGAAAAATAAATTCCATTAGCAAATTAAGGGACGAGAATAGGGTTTGGTGGAGAGGATGGGAGAAGTGTGAAGCGGTTCTGGTGACCTACTTCGAGGAAACTTTTACTTCCTCTTCCCCTTATAACATTCGTGATACGTGTGAAGTGGTTAGAGGTAAGGTTGGTGAGAATCATAGGAAGTGGTGTTAAGGTTTATTTAATGAGCAAGAAGTTGATGATGCACTATTTCAGGTGCATCCCTTGAAGTCCTCGGGTCCTGATGGACTCCTAACCCTTTTTTCTAGAAATATTGGCACTTTGTTGGTCAAGATGTTAAGAAGATGGTGTCGGAGGTGTTGAATAGGGAAAAAGACCTGTCAAAGGAAGAAACCCCACAACCCTAAGGACTTTAGGCATATCAGTCTTTGTAATATGGTCATGAAGTTGGTGATGAAGATGATTGTGAACCGTATTAAATAGATTCTTCCAGATATAATTGATGTCGAGCAGAGTGCATTCGTGAAGGGGAGACTGATTACTGATAATGCATTGACAGCTATGGAGTGTTTCCACTGGATGAAGAAAAAGGTTAATGGGAATAAAGGGGCCATGGCCTTAAAGCATGACATGTCGAAGGCGTATGATAGAGTTGAGTGAAGGTTTGTGGAAGAAGTGATGAGAAGTATGAGATTCCTAGAATCCATGGTGAATCTGGTGGTCAGGTGTATCTCATATGTATAGTATAAGATTCTGATCAATGACCAGCCTAGTAGGAAATTTTTACCCGAAAGGGGTCTTCGTCAAGGAGACCTCATGTCCCTTTACTTGTTTGTTTTGTGTGCAGATGTTCTGTCTGGGCTCTTAAGGAAAGAAGTGGGTTCAAAATTTATTCATGGAATCCAAGTGGCGAGGCATGCTCCTAATATATCACATTTTCTATTTGCGGATAATAGCTTGCTCTTTACAAGAGCGAATTATGGTGAAGCGAATAAAATTATGGAGATTCTGAACAGGTACCAAATTTCTTCAGACAAATGGTCAACCTTTACAAATCTGAAGCCTCTTTTAGTCGAAACGTGTGAGATGAAGTCAAAGGTATGATTCAGAACAGGATGAAGCTAAAGATGGTGCAATCTCACTCAAAGTACATGGGGCTTCCAATGCTTTTTGGGAGATCCAAGAAAGAGGTTTTCACACTTGTGGTTGAACGTGTGTGGAAGAAATTGAAAGGGTGGAATGAGGGTTTCTTGTCTAGAGCGAGAAAAGGGGTCCTAATTAAAGCGGTTGTGCAGGCTATTCCAACATATGTAATGAGTTGTTTTAAACTTCCTGGAGGGATATGCCACGAAATTGAAGCTCTTATGGAAAAATTCTAGTGGGGTCCATAAGGGTGAAAGGAAGCTCCATTAGATGAGATGGGAGAAGATGGCTACTGCTAAAGGCAAATGAGGTATGGGTTTTAAGGGAATTTCTGAATTTTATTCTAGTCTCCTTCGGAAACATTTCTGGAGGATTTTGCAGGGCGGGGGTGAAGGAAAATTGCGATCAAAAGCGCAGCGGAATTTAAAATTTTCCTTTAGCGATCCTTATGAATGAGCATGGTCAGTGATAGAAATATTTACCTCTTGTGGCGATTCAGACCTTTGATGTTGTGATCACGAGCGTTGATGAAGAACAACGCCTCTACTCAGTCCACACGAACAGATCGCTTCCGGTCACAGTGCTAGCTGATCACGAACGGAAACCTTGAGTGAGAGAGAGAATCAAAAATGAAATTGCATCAAGTGAAATTGCTTCATCACAAGGGATCTATTTATAGAATCACTCGTGTGGGCTACAAGCTAAAAGCCCAATTAAGGCTATAAGCTAAAAGCCCAATTAAGCTTATGGACATCATACCTTATGATGTACCATATATCACTTATCCACGTGGTACCTTACCACTTTCCGTATTACATTTAAGTGCACCGTACCTTACGGTGTTCCTTATTTATTCTATCTCTCATTAACCTGCCCTTATGTGTGTGACCCTGTAGGTTTTCGCGACGTTGGTAATTATATTAAATCACACATTTAATATAATAAACTGAGCGGTATCTAGCAACACATCACTGTTAACCAAGTCACGAAAATGTCATGTGATCTGACCAAACCTTTTCCGTGATAATATTTGTGTTGTACAATTACCCTTTTGCCCTCATGTCTATATTGAACACAAGGCATACACTGTGTCACCCTTGTCCAGTTCAATATTGGGCCCTTAGACATTTATCTTGTTATGCAGGATGAGCAAATTCTATCTAGGTCACTCATGTCCCTTAGCATGCTTTGTGAAGTACCCATCAACCGTCTTTATAGTCATCCAGTTACGGATGACGTTTGATCAGCAATAAAGTACTTGACTCTACATCTAGGGTCCATAGTGATTTCAGGTCGAAGGGTGGTATACACCATTATCATCATGAGAATAACTTATGACACTTTGCATAACATTCTATGTAGTATTCTCATAGCGGGTCAATCCAGTATAAATATTACTCCTAATATTCATACATATGTCAAGACTTGATAACTCCTTATCTATGATCCATGAGATGTGATCATCAATCTATCTTCATAATAATCTTAATGCTTTAATGTTATCCCACTTCACATTAAAGCTTGACTACGGATACTTTAAGAATAGTGTCTTATGTTTAATGGGATCTCATGATTAAGTCACACTTAACATTTCATTAAACAAATAAACCATTCTAGGGACTTTATTATTTTGGAAAGCAAACATAATAAAGAAATGCCTTTTATTATTAATAAATAATTCGATACAAGTACCAAAAGTATTGGCCTCTAGGGCTTACACCAACAAAGGGTTCGTTGTTGGGACAGGTTCTTAAAAGCAAATACTTTCCAAATTGTTCTATCCATGAGGCTAGTTTGGGTTACTCACCAAGTTTTGTGTGGAGAAGTATAGTTGGTGCAAAGGAGCTAGTGATGGCAGGGTCTAGGTGGAGGATAGGTGATGGATCCAAGGTTAGTATGTGAAAGGATGGTTGGATGCCTAATAACCCTGGTTTCAAAGTTTTGGGCCCCATTCGAGGTTTGCATCCGGATGCTCTGGTTTTGGACCTCATTGATCATGATTTGTGTTGTTGGATTCCGAACATGCTGAGTGAGTGTTTTGATCAGCAGGAGGCACTGTAAATTGCGGGTATCCCCTTGTCAAGGAGTAGAATTGAGGATAAACTTATTTGGCATCGGGAGAAAGGTGGGATGTATTATGTGCGTTCAGCGTATCATTATCTGGTTACGAAGGGGGATTCCTTGAAGGAAGGTTCTTCTGGCCTTTCGAGGGCCTCGCTCTAGAAAATCCTCTGGAAAGCTCCGGTCCATGTTAGGATTAAGAACTTCCTATGGAGATTCTACCATAATACTCCGCCCCTTTTGGACAAACCTTCTTAAAAAAAGTATTACTCTAGATCCTTCCTGTTTGTTTTGTGATGAACACCCCGAGACTCTCGATCATTTATTTTGTCATTGTGTTATTGTTAAAATGATTCGGTTTTCTTCTCCCCTTGGATTGCGACTTCCCCCTAATGTTGATCTTATGAAGGTGTTTCATGATGGCTTATCTGCAAATGACTTGTATGGCATTCAGTTGCTTTGCACTATCTTTTGGCAAATATGAAAATGCAGGAACAAGTGTGTTTTCAATGGAGATAGTATCTCCCCGTTAACAGTGGTTAATGGTGTCGTTGCCCATCTGGTGGAGTTCAACAGGACTAACTCTCAGGCCCATTTTGTTCAGTGTCTTAAGGATGATGCGGTAGTGAAGGAACTGCCTTCAGATGTCAGTTTTGTTCAGGTGGATGCAGGTTGTTTCAGCAATGGGATTGTGTCCCTAGGGTGTGTGATTAAGGATCATAATGGCAAAGTGATTATTGCATCTTCGAGGAGAATGGAGCTTTTTGCGGATCCTAGTATTGCTGAGGCAATGGCTATCCGTTGGGGTCTTCAACTGGCTCAAAATCTCAAGCTCAAGAGGATTGTGGTTCAGTCGGATGTGTTAGTAGTGGTTGATTGTGTAAACAACTTGGCTTTTTTCGACTGTACTGGAGTCGATAATTCTTGACTGTTCTAAGATTAAAAATGTTTTGTTGTTGTATTTGTTATGTTTATTAGCAGAAATAGTAATACGGATGCTCACCTTATTAGTTGGAATCGGTAAATCATTTGGTTGTAAAACTTGGCTGAAGTGCATCCCTAAGTATGACTCTGTTTCTGTTTTATTGACCTTGGCTGGCTCTTAATATTATGACGTTCGATTAAAAAAAAGTCAAGTATATATACACTTGTTCAAAGCTTAATACGATGTTCCACAACATCCAATCAAAACCAACAAATAGAAACTCCAATTATAACAACTCTTTATTACAGTTGTAGAACAGCCGGAGCCACTTCTTTCGGTGATAAAAATCATGTTGCAGTCCTTAAATATATTTGAAGTAACAAACAAATGTGTCAACGATTTTAGTTGGGTGTAATCAAATATATAAATCAAAATTATCATCTTAGAATATCGTGTGAGCTAAGATGTTTAACAACCATGTTTGTTTAACCGGACCCTTGAAATGGGACCACAGTGGATGGTAAGCACATGCAGCATAATTTTTTTTTCCCATTCACACAACTCAAGAATGTTATTTTCATGCAATTCAAATATCTAAATCAACAAAGAAAAATGTAACTTTGACGTGTCTAAATTAGGTAGGCGCCACACGTTCTTGCTTAAGATTATCTTAAGTAATTAATATTCTATTCTAAGAAACGACTAACTGCACGTGTATATCCTTGTAAATCAAGGAGTCATAAAAAGGGGGGAAGTTGGTCATTCTTATCTCCATCTCCACGTGTGAAATGTGAATAATGTTATTCTACTTACCCTGAACAGTGTGGACGAATAAATAATGAAATTCTATGAAAAACTGAGAAAACCAACAACAAACACATACTTTTATTATTACAATCATCAAGCATTTTCTTAGCAAAACAACTACAGTTTTTAAATATGAACCAGATAAACAGCCAACTATAGCCTTGCAAGCGCCAATACATTACACATAGCAGCTTGCTTAGCTTAAAGAGGCTTTTGCAGTTCATGCAGTTTGCTACCACAGAGTCAAAAATAAGTTTTAGAATCGGGTAAAAACAGACCAGGCAGCACCTACAAAAAAGGGTTCATCACATCTAACTGATAGAGTTACCTCCTCCCCCACATAAAAGAGCATCTCAGACAGTCTCTCTTAATTACTGAATAAGCAAAACTTGTTAGCATCTCCATGAACATCAGGCCGGCAGGGACATACTACTGCCAATGTGCACTGCGTCTATTTGGTGGTTCTTTCAGTCAAACCATTCAGGGATTCTAAAGCAAAAATTTAGCAGTTCAGAGAACAAGTGGTCAATTGAATACCCTGCCCAGTAACAAAAACAGCACTTATCAATGACACTCAACCCAATTCCTTTTTGAGCACTAATAGTTTTGCCAATAATAAACATGACCATTAAGTTAAACTGAAAAGACTCCATCTAAAACATGATGACCAGTTAAACTTAAACCGGCATTTTGTGTCACTTATAGCAATTAGCAAAACCACCACCATTCTATAGACATGATGACCATCGAGTTAATCAAATTAAAAAGATTCAATCAAAAACGCTATAACCTGTTAAACAAACATTAAGACACCCTTGTTCAGCTCAATGAAGTCAAGGACAAAGCAACTACAAAGGGCGAGGAGCGACGAATCCCCTAGAAACCATCTTCTCCACCAACTCTTCATGCTTTTTGAGCTGTCCAGCCTTCCGCAGCTGCTCCAGAACCATTTCATAAATCAACAGATTTGGCTTTAGGCTTTTTTCTTCAACCATTTCCTTCATGAACTTGTATGCATTATTCCAGTGCCCCTTTTCACAAAACATCATAATCAAAATCCTGTAAGTATTCACATTAGGTTCAACTTGATTCTCATCCATGTCCTTTTTCAACTTCAAAACCATATCAATAGATTTCGAGTCAACAAACATTCTCATCAGTATATTATAAGTCAACGTATTAGGCAAGCATTTCAGTTCCTTCATTTTAGCATACATCCGATGTGCGCCATTCACATCATGCAACTCAGCTATGCATCCGAAAATCGAATTGAAAGTAGATGCATTAGGAGCAACCCCTTTCTTAACCATTGTATCAAGAACCTTCACAGCTTCATCAAGATTCTCATCCTTACAATGACTCTCAATGAGGAAATTGTAACTAATTGTATCCGCAGCACAACCGAGTCTCTTCATTTGATTATAAACCTGCAAAACCTTCTCCGTCCTACCAGCTTTCACATGAACCCTCATAAGACTATTAAAAGTAACAGCATTAGGATCACATCCCGCATCTATCATCTCAGAGAAAACATCATGAGCACGAGTGATTTGTCCACTCCGACAAAGCGAATCAATCACAATGCTGTAAGTATAAACATTCGGCTTCACACCAGCCACCTTCATATCACTAAAAACCTCCTCGGCTTTCGATATATCACCAGCGCGACACCAACCATGAACTAAGCTAGTATAAACTATAACATCAGGCTCAAACTTATGCTTAAGACTATCAAAAAACGTTTGCGCTTCACTCGCTCTTCTCTTCTTACATAAACTACTAATAACAATAGAAAACGAAACCTTATCAGGAGTACAACCATAGTCTTCCATACGGTTAAAAGCGTGCACCGCCTCCGCAGCCAATCCAGCCCTCACGTATCTACGGACGAGAACAGAGAACGTGCTTAATGTTATTTTGACGCCACGAGATTTCATCAAATCGATCAAATTCCATGCTAAATCGAAGTGCCGGATCTTTCCGGCGAGATCGACCATTTCGTTGTAGGGCTCCGGAGAGGAGGGGAAGTTTTCTAGGGTGGTGGCCCAGTTGAAGAAAGCCAGGGATTGGAGGAATGGGATACCGTGGCGGACGCTTCCGCATTTTTCAATTACACGGCGGGTGATGGAGGGGGAAATTGAATGGACGGTGGAGATTTTGGAGAAATCAATGGTGAGATCGGGTATGGTGAAATTGTGTGGGGGTGAAACGGGATTAGGGTTAGGGTTAGGGTTTTTGCGGTAGTGGTCTTTAATGACGGTGTGAAATTTCTCGATTATGGTGGAATCTTCGGGTGATAAATTGGTGTTTTGTGGAGTGTCATTCTCGTTTGAAAGAAGGGGTGAAGAAGAACAGAGTCTGAAAGTGTATTGTAAGTGCTGGAAAAAAGAGTGGCGTAAGTGGGAGTGTGTTCTTGATTTGATGAGTGCCATTGATGGTTATGTTGGTGAAGTGTTGTTCGATGAAGAGAAAAGCAGCAACGGCGACGCTGGTGGTGTAAAATTTGAAAATGGAGAATGAGTGAGTTATTGGCGGCGTGTTCAGGTTCGGTTCAGTCCAGTGTGTTTGGCGGGGAACATATGTTGACAAAGACAGGAGATGACTGGGCCAATTCAATATTGATTTGCGGAAATTTTACCCATACCAGTAGCATTGTTCCGAGAATTTATTTTCCCACCCCAACTTTAATTTGATACCCCCTCTATATTTTTATATTGATAAAAATATCCTTTTCATTATTTACCTGTTAAAAGTTTATATTTTGTCAAAAAAAATTCAATATGTAGTAATGATAAAAAAAAATCAAAAATCTGGTAAGAAAAATTTCAGAAATGGGGAATTTATGTAATTTTATCGGATTTTTAAAAGTTAATACGAGTTTTTACTGAATTTAGTGTTGAAAAATTCAACCGTTCAAAATGTTTTATTTGTGCAATCTAGATTTCGATGGTTTTTCTGTAGATTTTATACAGTTTGCACCATTAATGTTATATGTTTTATTTCAATATTTTGTTTTTAACTTGTTCAATACTTAATAAGTTTCGATACGTGTTGTAAATGACATTAATAATTTATCATGTATATGGTCTTGGACTCTTGGACCTAATCCAGCTTAGGGAACCTTTTATAAATGTTCTTATCTCTCCGATAAAAAAAAGGTGGGGACAATAACGAATTTTACAAAAATCACACAAACAGAGTCTTTTGCAACTCTCGTAAGTTGACTTTTTCTTTCATTATTGTACTTCAGGCGAGTACACTACTCTTTCCCATTCAAACTAAATTGCTTAACTAATTATGGTCTTTATTTTTCATATTTAAAGAATATTATGTAAGTTTAAGTGTTTCATGTCCTCACCTTGCTTCTCGTGATTCAGATGTATTCAATTTCTTCCTAGTTTTTTTATTAAAGGGCACTATATTTCATCTAATATCAATGTTTTATCCACTTTCTTCCTATTATGTTTGAGGGTTGAGTTTGGTAAATTTGGGGATTAAGGTTCTGACTGAACTTTGATACAAACTATTCAGATATTAAAGTCTTGATACCTCATAGAAATATTAAAGTTCGGATATCCCATACGGATGTCAATCTCCAAACATTATATGTGTATCTATATTACTCTAATTTCTTATAGATTTATTCAATGTAATTCTAATGTATTTTTCGGTTATGCCAATTAGAGGTTCAATGTATGAAATATGTTATGTCAATTAGAGGTTGGGTAGATATTCAAGAAGTATGCTAGATTTTCATTTCTAGAGAAAAAAATATGTAAACCACTTGACTACAGTCAGAAATTATGCAAGTGGTGATGCACGGGTTGCTTATCATACACAATGTGAATTGAAGACATATTTTTGTTTTTCGTCGGCACAACCATATTTATGGACAAACGTGTGACCTATATCAATGTTGTCTACATTACCTACTTCTTAGACTTTGAGAGGATTCAAGAATATAACTGGAGAGGCATCTTGTTTGGATTACCTTTACATAATTTTAGATGAAGTTATCGTGACGTAGAAAATATCTGAGTGTATCGCACGTACAAAATACAACATGAAATTATGGTATACAGATAACTAATGTTCTAACATATGTCTAGAAACTAATCTCTACAGAACAAGGACTGGATAAGGCATACTGATATAATACTTATCAAAACAGAGTTATGACAGATGTTCTAATATCTATTACGACATGTTAATCAATCAAGAAAATACTGAGTTGTAAATTTGTAGAATGATAATAACACAAAGATATGATGACTCAGTTCAGATACAACAACACCTACTTTGGAGGCTACCAAGCCAGAAAGAAAATTACACTATCAGTATTATTATTTTATGTAAACAACCTCAGGTTTATAGGTAAACAACCTCAATTTTACCTAATCACTATCCAATGCAATCTTTATCTCAGAACTCCATCCAAGATAAGAGAAACTCGTCTCACTCCCTAAATCACCTCAGTGATATCTAACAGTCACAACCTCTGGTGACTATATCAAACTACTTGAAAGACGCCCCTTTCAATATAAAGTTCAGCGAAGACTCTTTACTAATAAACATACTTGGATTTGCTTCTGAAATTCTGGCTATCAGATCCCGGATGTCTTAAGAGATGTCGAGACACCAGATTCGACTTCAACACGGCAGGATATACAAATCAAAATAAACAGTGCATAAGGTTAATAACACACATATATGTTTACCTAGTTCAGAGCAACACTCCTACTTTAGGGGCTACCAAGCCAGAGACGAAATCAACTAGATAGTATCAATCTGTAGACCATACATCAAACATGCCAGTTTACAATCTACGCACTTAATCACTACCCTTTTCTAAACTTATACCTAAGACTCACCTATGTATGAGGCCCTCCTTAAATCCCTCTTCAATCACACTCAGCGATTGGAGCAACTCTAAACATAGTAGAGAACAAAAACACGGAAGACACTCCAAAACAAGCAATCCTTAATGCTTAAAAGCTTATGAGAACTGACACACAAATACTCAATGCTTAACAGCTTATGAGCATCTAACACACAAACATCCAATGCTTAAAAGCTTATGGATGCTTGAGAGAACTTACAACCCAAAATAGTCTTACTCTTCTATCAATATGATATTAGAGAGGCTCACAAATAAGGATTTTAAAACCCTAACAAAACACACATATAAGTTCTACCTAAAACTAGGTATACACCAGTCTATATATAACATTATTCTTGATTGGGTTGGGCTTCAAATTGCAGCAGTGAGGTTGCACAAAGTATGCACAGACTTCTCGAAGAAAATAGGTCTTCAATCATTTGTTTCCTAAAATGTCTCCATTTTAGAAACTTTTTAAATCTTCGAAAACCAACATAAAAATATCTGATTTATCAATCTTGGACGCCACATAAGCTAACTAAATATTCTCTGAATATTCAGTAACTAACATATTACCTGAACCATAAATTGTCATTTGTTGTAGACTCGATGTCATATCTTTTAGTTGGGACATCTTATTCGACGTGTTGAAAACTGAAAGTTAGAACATCTTGTTCAACATGTTGCTTCCAAGTTGGTTTTACCAAAATGTATGTCAATCATAATTTCAGAGAAATAACAATCTCCTCATTTGGAACGTTTTGGCTAAAAAACCAAATAACCCTTTCACAAGAAAGCACAAAAAATGTTTGAAAATAAATCAAACACATTCATCAGAGGCACGACAGCAGAAAACACATTAGCAAGGTTAGCAGTAAAGCAGCAAAATAATCAAAGATACAATTAGTAGTTAGTTGATCTACTAACACAGCTGTAACAAATAGAGAATCTAAGTTCTCAACACCATGATGTCAAGACATCATGTCTGACATCTCTTCATAGCAAGGACTCCCCCTTAACAAGAGAATCAGACATTCTCCCCCTTAATAGTAGTACATGTACCAGCACACGCACCCTCAATATCATACTACTCCCCTTTTTAGCCATAAAATTCCAAAGGTAAGTAGACAATATTAGCAAATTTATGCCCCTAAAACTTTAAGAGATAAGGTGCAAAAAATATTATGGGCATTTAACCCTTACAAAATCATAAACTAAGATAAACATGATCATAAGGAAGATCCAGACAAAGTCACATGACTAAATGTCATTCATTAGCCTATTCTTCTTCTCTAACAACACCTGCAGAATGTTTATGAGGTGAAGCACCAACATTAATTGCTATAATTCTTCATAAATACATATCCCAAGTCTCTTCCTTATATTCTCAAACTGAACTACATCAAGAGCTTTTATAAAGATATCAGCAAGCTGATTCTCAATACTAACATGCTCAAGAGTTATGACTTTGTCCTCCACAAGTTCTCCAATGAAGTGGTGCATGATGTCAATGTGCTTTGTCCTACTATGCTGAATAGGATTTTTGGAAACATTAATAGCACTTAAATTGTCACAAACTAATGTCATGAAATATTGTGTGACATTATACTCAAACAACATTTTCTTTATCCACACCAGTTGAGAGCAGTTGCTTCTTGCGGCTATGTACTCAACTTTAACAGTAGACAAGGAAACACATTTTTGTTTCTTATTGAACCATGAAATTAAATTGTTTCCCATAAAGAAATTTCCTCCATAGGTTCTCTTCCTATCATCAGAACTTCCAGCCCAATCAATATCACAAAATCCCACCAACGACAAATTTGTATCATGGGAATACAACATACAATAGTCACATGTACCATTCACGTACTTCAGAATCCTTTTCACTTGGTTAATGTGACTTACCTTAGGTTTTTCTTGATACATTGCACATGCTCCAACAGCAAATGTGATATATGGTCTACTAGCAGTAAGATATAAAAGTCTTCCAATCATGCTTCTATACAAAATCTGATCAACACTAATTCCTTTTTCATCTTTAGATAGCTTCAAGTGCGTAGGAGCAGGAGTTCTCTTATGGTTGGCATTTTCCAATCTAAATTTCCTTATAACATTCCCTACATTTTTGCTTTGACAGAGGAAAATATAGTCTTCCATTTTCTTGACTTACAATCCAAGAAAATAAGTCAATTCACCTACCAAACTCATTTTGAACTCAAATTGCATCTGCCTGACAAAATGTTGGACCATTTCATCTAACATTCCTCTAAAAACAATATCATCCATATAGATCTGAGTTATCAAAATTTTTCTAGCTTCGTCTTTAATAAAGAGTGTCTTGTCATTCAACCTCTTTGTTGTACCCCAAAATTTTCCCTCTCTTTTCTCAAGACATTTCTCACAAAAGATCTCAAATGCTCGAGAATTCTCAAGGGCTTGATCAAACAAGTTCACCTCCTAAGCACTGAGACTCCAAATTATGGTTTTGGTTTTATCAAGGACAATTGGACTTTTGATGCCTCAAGTTACTTTCATGGTTCATTATAGGTC